CCCCCCCCCCCCCCCCCCCACATTAGCAAACATGTATAAAGGGGAGCAAAGAGGCCTATGCACAAACATACTAGCATCTAAACACTTAAAAGACCAACGTCGCACTATTCTGGGACATTTTTGGGACCTACAAAATTATCTCCGACTTGAACAAAAATTCTGAATACTAGTATCGAAAGATAAACGAAAATCAAAGGAGAGACGGTAAACCAAATGGGAAAAAGATGACAACACATCAAAACGTTCTTATGCACCTCACTCCTTCTTGAAACAAGCAAAAGTCGACTTCAGTTGTGTTAAACACATTCACCAGGGCAATCTTGGCTGGAGGACCAGCAAATGTAGGGAAGCATCCATTGACACGAGCCTCTGCCCAGCCCTTTCTGATCTTACAGACGTCTACACTATCAAAGTACCTGGATATATAAAAAAACAAAATTACGGTTATAAATGACCCTAGAACGGTTTTCAAATGCTAACAATTCTTGTCGCTAGATGGACATTCCTGGTTTTCAAGTGATGTTTAAACTTGTATATGGGTATAACGCATGACGCCGTCGTAGACCTAAAAGCCATACTGCCATCAGTCCTGGCAGTATGCTTCACTATCTGCCTTCTAGTTTAATTATAAAACAATGAACGTTTAGCAAAGTCGGTGACAAAAAACTGCCACAGCTTGCTTCCGTTATCGGCGACACGAGATGACTTAGAGTATGGCTACTCCTTAATGTCAATATGAGACGTCAGTCTTTACACTTACATAGTCCATAGATTTACAAAAGGTCAATTTAGTTACACAATGTTACAGTTGGATTATTTAATTTCTTAACTTTTTTTTTTGCTAATTATACTAACACTAACGCCCTTGTAAAAGTTTTAATCGTTTGGAAATGTAACTGTGGAAGTTACGAAATTTAAACTTTTTCTGCACGGAGACTTCCAAAAAAACCAATGTATCTTCTCATCTTGCCTGGTAAACATTCCATGCCCAACAAATTTAAAAAGTCACTCACTTCATGAAGTCTTCGAGGGACATCCAAAAGACTCCTTCCTCAGACCCAAGGGCCATCAGATCATATCTTAACTCAGGGTTCCACAAAGAGGACCCATCAGACCAGTCACCAGTCCACGAGAAGCGACCCCAGGGGTTTCGAAGACGAACGAGTCTGCAATTACAGCATTGGTCATAATTTCAGCCTTACCTACTAGTCAATACAAAGAAATCGATGTCAATGGGATTTGTTTTCACTGAGGCGAAGAGTTGATTGGTAAGAGGTAAAAATATTTGTTTGAGCGGAGATTTAGGCGCGACAGGATGTTCTTATCTAATCTTTTTGCTTAATTGTATTGTTTCGATTATATATAGTTTTCCCTGGAATAACAAGCTTGTGCGCCGTTGAGATAATTTTCTTTTATTTCTAACAAATATCGTATATATCATTTAGCTGCAAAAGAATATTACTAAACAGTTTCAATGAACTAATTCATATTAAATTACAGGGCCGAAAAATACCAAAGAAAGCGAAAATAAACCGTGGAAAGCTTGTATGTAAACTGGCCTCCCATAATTGTCTCAAAACAATCAAGTTAACAGATATGTTATAATGTAATTGTCAGTAGTTTGAAGTAAGTCCTTAAACAACTGAAATCTGTTTAGTTATTTGTCGCGAGCGTGGAAAAAACCCGCTTATTTCAAAGCGAAGATTCGACCCTGAGAGATTCTTGTCTCGTAAAAAAAACTCGCAATCTTCCTAATTTATTGGTAATTTAGTGTTAACAACAGAGTTGGAAACGTTAATTGGCTACCGTAAAGAGTTTAAAGGTTAACGTTTCGCGCCTTAGCCCTTCGTCTCGAAACGTCAGCCTTTTAACTCTCTACGGTGGCTAATTTACTTTTTCAACTCAGTTGTTAACACTAAATTACCTGCTATACTCTCCCACCGCACAGCACCACAGTTTCTTTAGAAACTTACCCCCTTTATTACCTAATTTATTGACACACACGGATCTTTGCAGATCCTGGTACAGAAGTACGAAGGACGCAAAAAAAAAAAAACAAGACATCACCAACGTCGGTTGCATTAAAAAAAAAGCTTACCTTACGCCATGAACATCCTTAACATCAAGCACTGAGTAAGCATGGTGAGTTTGCAAGCCAACCGCTGCAAAAAGATCTTCTTCTTCTGGCTTTGTGTCTCCACCACAAGAGGCACCCATTAGAAACCTGTAAGTTGAAATGCAACGCTGCAAGAACATTTGGGCTGATCTTACTACATTTTGGTAGATATACAAAATGAACATAAGTTTGAAAACGAAGGTGGATGGGTGAATATGTGGTAGCCTGTGTCATGAAAAGAGTACGAAACCTTTGCACACATACCCTGCACTCCTGCAGCTCAGAAGCTGTGCCCAAATCATGTCTTTATCAATAGCCTCTGCATCACTTGTAGGGTTTTGAGGCTCTGTGTTAAAAACAACCATGACCAGTAACACATTAGAGCGCTTTTCGATTGAGTAGCGTAAAACCAAAACCAAAACCAAAGTAATCCTAATGGCCGATCAGAATAAGGGAAAGTACCCTTTGGAGCCAATGAAAACCTGAGTAAAAAACAAGAAAACTGCCCAAAGCGTGGATAAACGCGGGCAACTAAGTCGTGATTGGTTTTAGCTTCGCATCTTATTAGCTGAGAGAATGGCGCGAGTTTTCTGGACCAATCACAGAGCGAGGTAAAGCAAAACCAATGCAATCAAGAATTACCTATGACACTCACTTCTTAATTTCTTTAAAAAACCTGAAATTCTCCATATTGACTGCACTTAGTAACCACTGTAATAATACTACATTCAGTCACCATGAGCACAAATTGAAAGACGTACAAAACGTGTACAGCCACCTACTTGCAAACTTTCCAACAACTATGCAATTTTTAATCTAATTGGCCCAAAAGCTTGAACTCACATAACTGCAAGTTATGTAGTGAGCTGATGGCCATTGAAAAGAAAGAAATATTGCTGAAACTGAATATTTTCTTTACTCCCATTGCTTGCCCTCTTGAAAATGCACTGATAATGCGAGAAAGGTATCTTATTAGTCACAACTGAATGAGTCTTACCATGCAGCACAAAACTCTCACAAGGTGCACCTGTCAAAGTCTGCAGGCCTTCAATGCAGCGTCCAGCAGTGAGAGCCTGATAACAACCATGCAGTTTGGCCATGGCCTTCTCAATCAATGGTACCCATAATTGCTGTCGGCGGGCCTACAATAGAAAAACAGTTTTTAAACATTTTTTGGAATTTTTTATCTACACTTCACTGAAATTCCCACATAAACAACGTCTTAAATGCTTTTTAGATATCTTCCCTGATCCAAATCTAATACAGGTTTGTAACTCTTCAAATGAAACTGGCAGATCTACATTTACTGGGCCATAAGTAGAAGGTGAAGTGTAGGAGTATGTTCATCACAGGTTACCACCATGCAATTTATCTATAGCCCGTATGCAAATCACTGGTGCCCAAGCAGGTGCTGCAGGGCAAAGTACCTTGCCTAACAATATAACACAACCCTGAGTAAGGCTACAACCCAGACTTCTTGAGCTGAACTCCACAGCACAAACAATACAAGTCAGTAAGGACTTTGCACTGCTTGCTTTGGATTATACCTGTGAATAAACTGGTTGTCCATGGTGATCACAAGGTAGTAAGTCATCAACCAAGATTATTGTCCATTTTCCATCTTTGCAAAGCCGAACTTGGTAAGCTCCCTCTTTATTGATCTAGACAAAAATGATATGACACATGAACAAGGTTGTGCTTAACAGAGGGAAGTAAGTAAAATGTAAAATCCAGCTGCATTTGTTTTTCAGTTCAGGTTTAAAAGTTTACCCAGTTAGATTGTTGCTTTCATTATTTCCATGCTGCTTCTAAATCTGTTCCAAAGTTTTTCCTCTTGCCAATGATGGAAAATTGTAAATACAGCTATCATCAATAAACAAGGTCTAAATGAGGATTACTTGGTTGTATAGCATGTATATTGTGTCATGGCGTGCTGGTAATGGAAGCAAAAATTCTACTTGTGTAAAACTGTTTTGTCTGTGTACCTCTCTTGTTATTAAAATCTTTTCCAAAAGTTCTGGTCTTTCACCTAAAACAGCCATTGCACTTAAAAACCTGCAAACATTGGCAAATGATAAAGTTGTCAAAAAAGCTTCTATGGAATAGTGATAAAATTATTTCAAACAATGTGGCATAATAAATACATATGCGCCATTAACCAAGCATGAGGTCAGGATGGCTGAAAAAAACTTGCCCAGTTGAGTTGCCAACCAGAACACATGATGCAATTCATCTTGCCCACAAGTGATGCCAGCCATATAATAAATGTCACATATCAAATTATTAGAGAGAAATGAAAATTATATTTCCATTTTGATCTTGTTACTTCACTGTCAGCGCACTTTCCATGTATTCCTTCAAGTTCTCTCTCAACAACTTCCGGCCATTTACAGTAGTAAGTCTCCTCTTATTCTACATACTCCTATCCTAGCTGTCTTGAAGATTCAGATCTTAAAATTGCTGAATTTTCCCAGAGATTCCCAGGCATTAAAGTGGGATATGTTGATTGATACATTGTATCTATAATCCCTCTGACTGGTTTTACATGGAAAATAATAAATTTAATGCTGACTCCTAAAAGTACATGATGAAATTGATAAATAAAGACATTAAAAAAGGGCCAACAACACAATACATTAAGTGCGGTCACCCATCCACAAGGCCTAACAAGTATGTAACCAATTTCCATATGAATCAATATAATGATATTTAAGCAAATTTTTAATGTGGTCTGCCACAAGCATCCCACATAATGAACCACAAATATAATCCTCACACCAATTCTAAGCTTACAACAACCCCAGAAATCTTCCTTTCTTGCTTAAACTTCTCTACAATTAATTCCCATTGAAACAATTATTTCTAATGGTCTAAATCCTAGAGGGCAGGGAAGTTTTTCAAAAATTATTGTAATCAGCTTTGTTATCAAATTTTAATCAGAAGCCTGGAGAACTACTCAGAGATTATATTTATTATCAATTTCAAAAGTTCATGATGTTTTTAATTGGTTGCTACTATTTCTTTTCCTTTTAATTTCACCTTACAAAACAAATAAGCTTCTATGTATTTTCAATCAATTCCAAAAAGTACCCTTCCCCCACCCAGAAAAGAAATTCTCAAATTGAATGTATGTAAGTGTAGTTTGGTCATGATCAGCCAGAATATAGAGCAAAAATCTTAAGAAAACTCCCACTTTTTATGTGTTTTAACTCTGAATTCTCTATTTTCCAATTAGGTAGGGGAACTCATCAAGTTATCTTTTATTGGATGAAAGGGTTACATGCAAATATTAAACTTACCAGCAGTCACCCAGGACTCCTTGCATGATGTCATCAGGCCTAGGATTACGGAATACAGCCAAAGGAATTGATGTTGTACCATGCCCTCCTCTAAATGCCTTGATGTTTTCAGGTCGTCGCCAATCTGTCACACGAGGGTGTTCAGAATGGCGTGGCTCAAAGTATAGAGACTTATCAGTGGGTGGGAAGGAGTCATCAACAAATTCAATTTTGGTCTGAAAAGTTAATATGAACAAATAATAATAACAATTAAATTTTGGACACACAGTAACTTCTTAGTTAAATAGGAAAGAAAGAGAAAACTGTTTCTGTTCGAATGTACAGCATCCACCTGCATCCAAGCAATACTGTTATTGAGACTAAGAGATCTAACTTTCCCTAGTGCTATATGTCATTAATACTAGTAAGCTTTACACACTTTAATGTGTTCATTAGCTAAAGCAAGGTAGAGGTTAACAGTAAGAAGATTCTGCACCAGAGTCCTACCAATATTTGAAGGCGAGCTAGTTTGTTGTATTGTGACTTTCATATGTTTATCTGTTAAATTTTTGGTAAAGAGTGGTTCATATGCGTTCTTTGAGACCCCCTTCCTATGTAGACACCCCTATTGTCAATTACAGTTACACATACACTTTTACAATACTGCACAATATTGATCCATTGTTCTTTAGCTTGTTTCTCATCCCGAATTCTCCTGGACTCAGAATTAATACTCTGTTGACGCTGCATTGCTTTCCTTGGACTAGCCGTGGGTGATGCCCGTTCGATCTCTCCATCATCTACAGCAAGATCATTTTTGGCACCACAAGCACTGCACACCGCAGTGTTAATTGGGTTAACCAGAGTGCATGTTGTGCATGACCAACCAGAATCTACCGCACCAGGGCCTTCAAAGGGAATTTATACACATGAATTTAACATTTGTTACCATCACTTACAAAAATTAAAAAAAATTTATCAAATAAATCAAAGACAATGTTTTGGAACAAAACAATAACTGATTAAGAGTTGTTGTGATAACAACAACCCCAAAAAGTTACTTAGCTGACTACATCAAACAGGAAAAGTTACATGTAACTGTTGTTAAGGTTTAATGATTAAATCTAATTCCTTTGAGTCTGTATGCCAGTTACTTCTGGAGCTTATCCCCACAGGGACACCATGCGTGACTTTCAGTTCATTCTTTAAAGTGACTGGTACGACCAATAGCATATTCTTGGTTTGTGGGTTCTCCCTTTCTGATCCTGCTTAAATTTTTTTTATACCTTGTTTCTGTTGTAAATTCAGGGTGTGCTGATACTAGATCAACATTGATAGTAAACATTTTTTTAAAATAAGAATTGATGTCTCTGTCAGATAGCAAGTTAAAAGATCCCATTGTTAGTTAAACATGTGGTTTTGTTCTCCTTACTGGCATTGAAACTGTTTTCCTGAAAAGTTTCAAAATTGATATGTAAGATTCAAAATTGAAGTCTTTTGGACACTGAAGATTTGTCCACTTTGGCCAAAATTTGTCAAGCCACAACAAACCATTTGCACTTGTAAAATGTTGGTAATGACAGAAAAATTTGCCTTAATAAACAACCTTTTTTGCTAGTGCTGAAAAGTCCTAGGTGAGTATTTGATTGATCAATTGATGGATTGATTGACAGGCATATTTCATTCCTTCCAGGCAAGGGTCTGAGGACATCAATAGAATGGTATTAAATCTTCCTTTCAAGAAGCTATGGGAACAAAATAGTCATTTCGCCCTTAGTACCTGTTGAGTCAGTATCTTCTCTCAAAGTGCCGGGTTTAGCCTCAACTCCACGATCACTTCCGCAAACTGCACAAACTGAATTAGAACTTTCGTTGACAAACGTACACTGGGAACAACCCCAGTTGTCTGTAAGAGGGCCTTTAGAAACTGAAGGAATGGAAGATTTAGGGAATGGTCGTGGTTTAAAACCCTCTTCCGGGCAAGGTGAATGGCAAACTGTACAGTGAACTCCGATATTGTCATATAACAAACTTTGGCAATTAGGACATTTCAAACCTTCTGAACTTTGCTGAGCAATAGTTGGATGTAATTCAAGCGACAGATTGGGATAAATTCTTTGACTTGAAGAGGTCCCTTCACTTTCTGAAGCTTTCACAGAATTGGAAACAACGATAGAAGGTTCGAACTGGCAAGCAGAACAGACAGATCTATTCCACGGATTCGTTAAAGTGCATCGAGGGCATGTCCATTGTTTACCATTGCTATCAGCATTTCGAGCAACCCCCTTATCCGATCCACAGCTATTACAAAGAACTAAAGTTTGTGGATTACGAGAGTCACAAACTCGACAAGTCCATGTCGCGGTGGATTGTTTACGATGGCCACAAGCGGAGCAGGTGGAATTTCTGCCTGGGTTTATCAAGGTACACTGCTTACATGTCCACTGTTGTTCCAAAGAAAACTTCGCTCCCATCTCTTCCATTTGTGGGTTTAACGCAATCTAAACTACACGATCGATCACAAATATGGACTACACATCATCACGAAGACTTGTATTTGATATCACAAACTACATACACGGTAAATCTACCTAAAAATTTTATGTGTTTTCTATAAATAGCACTAACAGAGCTTGGTCAGCAGTGATTGGGTCAGGAGCTAAAATTTTTCCCGAGTGGGGTACCGTCGGGTATTTGTCTTGGCCGATTTGTTTAACTTACGGAAAAAATCAAAAAGGGATTTAATGTGTATTACCTGTTTTTTCTTTCTTTTTTCTAGGTGGAGTGGTTAGTTTCCAATTTTAGATAAGTGTTACCGAACGAATCAAGAGGCCACAAACGAATTTTTTCACCTTCTCCCATGCAATATTTTTCTAACAACTGAAAACGAGGCTTACTTTTACCGGAAGTCAGTATGGCAGGTTATATTTTTCCATCACTCTTGTTCTACTCTTTCGGTTTCCTACTAGAGGGGATTCCACGCGGCAGTTCTGAGCCTTCAATCGACTTTCAGGTGACTCTGTGGAAGCAAGGTAAATAACTTGATTTGATTCAAATCTCCCTTGACAATCCTTGCCTGACTGCACTTGTTAACCCTCCCGACAGGTCGTCCGTCTCAAACAGTTACCCCAAGTTATTTCCCTTTTCCATTTTCGAAATTTGTCATCAGTTTTAAAATTTAACCCTGTCAACCCAAAGCTACCTATCTTTCTCATTTCTATTTTTCTTTTCCATATTTCGCACTGAGTTTTGCTCGAAACCAAAACCGCTCATGATCTATCAGTTGGCCTCACAAAGATTCAATGTTCCTGAATTCAGGTTTTTTGAATATATATTTTCTCAGCCCTTTAGTACTTTTGATTCGATCATATTTTGAACTCTCTGTACCTTTTCGCGGAGTCTCTTAAAGGTAAATTTCCTAAAGAGCACAAACATATTGCGTGACACGATGAGACTTAACAGGGCTGGTAAGAGTCATGACATGACAGTCATGCGATCACTCCCACCGATCATCTCGTTTGGGCCAAGGCAGCCCAGCAAATATTTACTTAGCCTAATAGCAGGGAGCGATGCGAGCATAGGAGAGCTTTGCGAGGGCTGGGTTCGCGAACATATCTGCGCATGCGCAAACGTTGCAACGACCATATAAAGGAAAGATAACGCTATCTAACTGATGAATCGCTATCCGGCGGATATATGCTAACAAACGTAGGCGCTATAGAGATTTGTGCAGAGGATAGGGATATCCACACTACGAACAAGCGGAGACAGGTTGGTGTTTTCAGACTGATGGAACCAAATTGTCTCATACGAGCGAAAAACAATAACACAAGCTGGAAAGTCACAGTGATTGAAAAGCGTATACCCTTTCTGATCAGGCTCACAACAAGTCAGTAAGTCAATAGGATAACTGTACTTGAATAAGCTTTGAGTTAAAAAAAGTATCAAGTTTTCCTTCTTCCAGCTTTTGTTTACTTTTACGCATTCCTTGAATGTTTCAATTTTTCTCGCGTGACAGAAGAAAAATATAGTAGAACGAAGGATAGAATTTTTCTTAGCGTGACTCCTCACTCGCGTACAACACCTCATATCGCAATCACGCTTCCTCTCGAGCGCCTGCTGCGCACGCTCAGACGCTGTATCAAGCATCGAAGGGAACGACATTATAACCAGGCTTATATTCTGTATCAATTACGTAAACACAGATTATTTATATCTATTTGTTTTGCCCTGATAAACCTCAATCGTTGAGGTTTGTTGTGGATATTATTCTCTCTAATCCAAGTGGTTATTTATTTCACACATACTGAGATCTATACTGTGAAGTACTATCGTTCGTGTCTCTGATTGAAAGAGTCGTTTACTTTCCATCTTTGCCTGTCAGTTTGAGAAAAATATCAGTATGTTTGAAGTAAAAACATCATACCATGTAAAAGTGCTTGAATTTATTCACTCGTCGATAGATCGAAAAACTCACTCGTTCGTTATTTTGATGCATTGACACTTTTATGGAAATCGTTCGTGCGCACTTTCCATGGAATAATCTCTATTTTTCTAGAATGGAATTCACTACTGACAAATCTCAAAGACTTTATCGTGCATGCATGAACCCTTTTTCGTTCTGATTTCAGGCGATCTTGGGGTGAACACGTATCGTATTCCCATTCTGAAATCTCTGCCTGATGGATCCCTCATCGCGTTATCTGAGGGAAGGAAGTACAACTCTGCAGACGTGGGACCAAAATTCCTGGCAATGCGCCGTTCAACTGATCAAGGATTGACATGGAGTAACACAACGTTCATTGAGGATGATGGTGAAGACCCTGATGGCCTCAATCTCGGCACCGTTTTTGTAGACGAAGAGAAAAATCGAGTTTTTGTCATATATTCCCATTGTGCGACCAAATGTGTTTATCACACCACGTTTCTGATCAGCAGTGATGATTTTGGGCTGACTTGGACAAACCCATCAAACCTGTCGGATCAGATTGGATCGTCTGTGTTTCTACCAGGACCGGGTTTTGGTATTCAGGTATTACCTTGTCGAGTCAGTTTATATTACTAAATTACCCTTGCCACATCATATTATTGTCTAACACTTGAGCTCTCATTTAGAAAAAGAAAGATCCTCACAAGGGACGGCTTATCACGTGTGGTCATTCTCATCCTGGTCATGATGGTGTCTTCTGCATTGTTAGCGACGGTAAGCACGGTAGTTAAAATTGCATGTTCAATTGCATGCATAAATTGTATGTTCTTTGATTGGTGAAGAAAACTCGTGTCACTCTCTTATCCAGTCAGATGCAAAACCAAACCAATGACGACTTGGTAAATGGTTATTATTTGGTCTTTCTGATATGGCACGTGGTTGCGGCAGATGGCTTGTAGTTTCATCATGTTCATCGAGATGCAATGGAAATTAAAACAAATTGATCTGATTTTTTATATTTAGATCCAGTCAATTTATCGTTATATCAAGAAAACTCAAGTAACTGACCACATTGACTTAAACTAAAATATTTTTGGAATGAAGGAATGACTAAATCACAGACTGAGATAATAGTCATAATAGTGGATTGAATTAATAACAGACAAACTGGTTGAATCATCTTAGTTTCAAATGTCAATTTAGCGGCATTCCCCTCCCTTTTCTTCAAATTCTCGTTGTGTTCGCCACGATACGCGGTCGATTTTGCTATTTATTCTTATTACTCATCTCTATTTCAGATCATGGAACAAGCTGGAGGGTTGCTGGGTATATTCTTCAGCAAGGTTCATTTGAGCCGGATGAATCTCAGGTATGACAGCAATCTCCGCTTACCTTTGGCTCCTAGGCGCGTTTTTGAGGTGATTGACAATGATTATGCATTCTCCCTTCTCGACAGCTTATAGAGCTTTACGACGGCAACCTACTGATGACTTCACGAAACCAAGATAATTTCCATTGCCATTGTCGCATCATGTCCAAGAGTTACGATGGCGGGGAATCATTTGCGCATTCTGACATCTACTTCGATGAAGCGTTGTTAGACCCAGTAGTTGCTGCCAGCTTACTTCGTTACAGGAACACGGTTTACTTTTCGAATCCGGCCAGTAAGCTTTTCCGAATTAATATGACCGTCCGCTGGAGTGAGGACAATGGCGAATCATGGGTGGGGTCCCTCGGAGTGTGGAAGGGTCCAAGTGGGTACTCCTGCCTGACTACCATCCCTGGAACGCAAGCAAACAACACCTTCATTGGCATGGTGTTTGAAAAAGGAGTTACTCGCTACTATGAGAGCATAGCCTTTGTTAGATTACGGTTGTGAAACACTGATTGAACAATTACATCAGCACCTTGACTTTTTTTTTTTTGGAATTTTTTTCAGGGTCGCACTCCTAGTATCAATTATAAAATTTCATGACGACATTATCTCTGTGATTTTTTTTTTTCAACCTAAGGCTAAGAGGTTGGTTTCGAAATTAATTAAAATGATTCTGTCATCGAGACCATTTTAAAACCTTGTGGCGTAACTCGCAGTTAAGCCCCATTCCTCGAAACCAATTTTGTAGCTCATCAAGGCAAGGAAATATTGTTTTGACCATCTGATCGTGCGTTTGTGGTTCTGTTAGTGTGTGCGTCTGTAGAAGATGCAAAGGAAGATTGACGAGTTTCGCAATGATATACTTTATACAAAAAAGGAAACGTGAAGCAACTGGTGGATTAGTTGTGATAACTAGGGAGTATCATTTAGCCGACTGGAACAAGTCGACTTTTTGTTTTAAGGCACACGCGTGACTCAACAGAGGAGGATCAAAAAAGGGATTTGGCGATACATTCAATAACAATTATAGCTCATTAGGTGCTAGTTTCGTATTCGCATGACAAAAACTAGAAAAAAACGTAACAGCCTAGCGTAAAAATTTTGACTTCAAAAAGACAGTCAGTCCAATAAACTGCTTGAATATTATGAAAAGTCCATTAATCAGTAGAATGTGCTACTACAACCACCTCCCTACCTACTAATAGTCTGTCTCCCACCCCTCCCTGTGTACCGATAAACTGCATCCCACCCCTTCCTGAGTATTTATGATCCGTCTTCCCCCACTGATAGTCAATAAAATGGTCAGCAAGCGCCACTTTGCGCGGTCGCCAAAAGCTCAAAATCCAGGCCTCGACGGGGTTCGAAACCGTTCTGTCGCGCTTTGTAATAATCGTCACACTGTCATATTTTCCGCACTTTGTAATGATATCCTTGTTAATCACTGTCTCAATCATCATCTTTATTATTATTGTAATCACTATTATTGTTACTATGATTATTATTATTATTAATATCACTTCCGTCATTGACTAGGATGATGGTTATAATTTGGTCTGTTCGTCCTTCGACATTCTATACCAAGTTTATCAAAAAGTGCGTCAATTTTAAAACTAAGTGCGACGATTATCACAAGGTGCTTCCCCACAGCCCGTGCCGACCAGATACTTGCTGGGCGCTATGAGGCCACACGTCCCATTCGTTAAACTGGAAATACTGGTAAGGTCTACGATAGCTTTGATACCGGGGTCGTTCTTGCTTGCCAATCATGACGAATGGTGTTCTGTAAATTAGTTCCCTAATGCAAATGTTAGCTAGTCTATTGCAAACGCTTTGTTAAACACAGAGTAGGATTTTTCTTTTGTTGACGGTTTTGAAAGCCTTCAGGGTTCTCTTACAAAACTTATGATTCCATCGTTGACGTTTGATTCTAATACATTCAGTCAAGTATGTCTACGTCTTGATGCATCTTTCAAGCCTAATACTCTTTTCCCGTATACTATTTCACTTACTCGGCAATCTATGATGTTGCCGCTCCGGCATGGTCTGTCATTACTGACCGATTTGAGGAACTTAGGGATGGAAGTTCTGTCCGTGGAAAGTGAAAGACCTAAGTGCCAAGGGAATTTTCTGCCACTTTTCCGTGTTCCGTACTCTGTCTACCGTTCTGATAATTACTTCAGTAATTATCCGCTATAGCCGATGAGGCTATTTCGTCGTGTATAACCTTAGGTGTAATCCGAGAAAATCATTTGAAACGTCTGGAAATGTGGATAAATGAAACTACATCCGCCATCTCATTTCCTGAGGAAAATCGCCTGACTATCGATCGAGCTCATTCTCTCGTTTGATTTCATGGTCTGGCATGCAATACGTGCGGGTATCACTGACGAAGTTTGCTCATTGAGGGGGTTAGAATAACAGTACGAGCAATGAAAGAAATTTGTCACCTACACTGAATGGAATATTAAAATCATGTATAATTACATGTATGTAGTGAAATATACATATGAGACCAACCGTAAAAGGGTTTTAGACTAATGCATTTTTTTAACGGCTCAAATTGAAATAGCAAAAACCTCGATGCATCAACATTTTATCTCATTTAAATGAGATTTTCAGACAGAGATGCATTGAAAACTTTATTATTCGATAAGTCATTCGAAACCGTCGTATCCCTCTCTTGGATTTCTGTTGCAACAACAACGACAAATGAATTGGCCTTTTCCTTCCCATGGCATTTGCAGGAAAGCGGTAAAAATTCGAACTTTGTGACTTTGTGCCTAACCATAGCAAATTCTTTCTCTGCGTCAATTGTATAGATGTTGTTAGCAAGGTGCTTTTAGTATTCATTCATGAGTTTGCGTCGTCTTTTGTAGATTTTCTTCCCTGATTTCTTCATCCATAGATGATAAAGAGAATATGCAATCAGTCTGTCGAAAGTTTTCTCTTATTACCATAATATCCCCCGGCCAATATTCTTTCTCTTGATTTAATCAATCTTTGGATGATAATTTCTCTCATAACTTATTTACTCATCTTCATTATTGTAAAATATGTAAAAAATGGCTCTATCATTCTTATTGTCTCAATTTTGTTCAATACTCAGTTTTGAATTATTTAAATCAAGAGTGCCTCGGGGTCAATTTTAGGGCCATTCCTCTTTTCACTTAGTATAAACGATATTGTCAAAGGTACAAATTACTTTCCTGTAAGAATTTTTGCAGATGACACTTCTTTACAACAACGGGCTGAGATTTAGATGCTTGATTTTTCGAATAAATCTAAATAACCACCAATTTAGTCACTATGAACAGCTAAGCTCAAACAAGTTAACCCTGAAATTTAGTGAAACGATTGAAAATATTTAGTTTTTCCAAAAATGACAAAAATACTCCAAGAAGATATCCAACCTAATTCCAGGAAGAAATAAAAGAAAGATCAATATTGGGCCGAAAGGGTCAAGGCTGAGAATTTAACAAATAGAGAAGCCTTGACTGTGCTAAGTTCTGGTGTAAAGCACGCCGGAAGCGGCTAAAGCACGAAAGAAGAGAAGAGGGAAACACGAGACGTAGTCGAGTGTTTTCCCTACTTTTTGAAAGTCTGTAGTGTGACCACAGCTATTGAGATCAAATGTTGAAATCTATGCTGGCGTTATATATTTCACAGCCCCGTACTTAACCCCTCATAAAGGAGCGTTTCATGGACGTGAACAGCTGCCGTAGACATGTCATTATCTACTGCGAAACTAAGGGAACTTTGTGCATCGAAATCATTTAAATAAAATTGGTATCATTATTGTCCCCCTTAGTACTGCGTTCTTATCACCTGTAATAGTTCTAAGTAGATCAGCCCCGCCTTTTGATGATCTATGTTTTACTGTAGAAGTAATTCTGACAGCTTGAAGGAGATTTTCTCATGTAGCTTACAATTTATGATAAAATGCCAACTGAGAAAGGTGTACAACAACATAGGGGCTTTATATGCTTTTTAGGTGCATGGTCTTGCGTAATTTTGGTATCCAAGAAGTTGCTGCCGTAGCTTCAGCGACTGGGACAAACCATCACACGTCGACAGCTATCGTGCTTGTCTTCAATAAATTTTCATCAATTAAACTTTGATCAGTAAGTAATTAAACAGTGTTCATTTCTTTTTTACGGTTACTGGTAGGCTAGTAGCCATATTGTGGTCATGTCGTTAGTAGATAAGTGAGTGACTTTTCGTGAAGCGAGTGTTACTTTATAGCGTCTATTCAGCAATTTATAATTAAGGCTGACTAACAGGCGCGAAGCAAATGCAAACGCAAATGCAAATGCGAGGATTTTCATTTTCTTGAACTTGCACTTGCGTTTGCATTCGCTTACCACACGTATGGACCGGGCAACGCAAACGCAAATGCAAAACCTGGGCGAAAACACAGGTTCCACCGGTTCCATGCTAACATGGTACAGTTAAAAACAAGATGGCTTCGACGTCTTCCGCCTTTTCGGAAGAAAAACTTGCCTTGGGCGTGAGGAAATTTCCTGTATTTTTTGACAAAATTTTTCGATAATTCAAACACAAATCAAAGAAGAGTCTTTCTTGAAAAGATGTGGCCAGAGAAGCGGGCATAAAAGACAGTTTGTTTTACGAAAGAATGTGTTGTATCCGAGTAATAATGACAAATGCATGAACAGCGAAACACAACTTCGTTTATTTCTGCCCTTAGTTGCACATGCGCATGTCAACTTCAGGGGAGCAATGTTCATCAGACTCAACCAGATGGAACTCATCCGAAGCCGCTGCAGCAGGGACTGGAGTACATTGAATTTCTAAATCAGGAACAATCTCGCTTGGCTGGTACACATTGGGCGTAATCCGATTTGGTACAAATTGGCGCTGAATTACTGGAGGTTTGACTGGTGAAATATCACTCGCAGGTGGGGAAAGCAGTTGGTCCATCTGTAGTTCCCAAAGGTTACCCTACACCTAAACCATACAATGTCGTGAACAAACGACTTCAGTCACAACTCCAGGCACCCACTTCTCTCCCTTACCATAATTACGTGCTAAAACCGGATTACCTGCACTGAACTGACGCAGGCCTCTCTTTGTGGTGCGATTCACCTTGGAAGTGTACCGGCGAGCTTCAACATGTTTTTCAATTGAAGGGATCAGTAAATCTAGACAAGTACTTGGCCGTCGTCCCATAACTGGTAAAGCAGGAGGTTCGTCCGTAGTAGAGTGTGGGGTGTTTCCATAAACCAATAAATACTGGGCGGTTACAGCAGATATATCGTCGTTTGTAAGCTGAGCTTGTTTGATAGCTGATTTTAAAATTTGGACAACACGCTCAGCCTGTCCGTTAGGGGAGGGTTTATAGGTTGCCGAGGTACAATGCAATATGCCATTTTTAGAAAAAAAGGTTTCATATTCTTTAGAAGCAGACTGTGGGGCATTGTCAGAAACAAGAAGACCATGTCTGCTGAAGATATCACGTAACGTATTTACGGTTGCTTTGGCCGTAGTGTTGGTCATTTTAACAACCTCTGGGAATTTTACATAGGCATCAACTAAAACCATCAAATCAGGATTTGATGCTCATTCTTCTAGTAAGCCTGTACCAG